GCAACACAGTGGGAATTTTACACCATGAGATGCAGGTTCGTTGCTCATAACTGGACAGTGGCTGCGCACTCATCAATACGTGTAAATCATTTTAAACATAAATTAAATATTAAATAGGAATTTATCACAATAAATTAGATATTAATCTCAAATCAGTGCCTCGTCCCGCTATAAACTTCTTCAGAAAATTCGGTACCTAAAAAGTGAATTAAATGCACTATTCTTTGACTTCTTCACAATGCAAGTTAATTGGTTAACGTTGTGGATGCCAATGCGGTATATGAAAAAAAATTAAACAAATACATGTTTGAGTAAAAGAACAATTCCAAATTTATAATTAAAGAGCATGATTTTTGAGGTCTTTTCAACTCCAGTAAACCAGGCTTTGCCTCCCATTAAAGTCCTTAAGAGGAAAAAAACATCTGGAAAACTGCTATACATAAAACGAAAACGTACGAAGATACCTTCAACTTCTTAATCAGGCTGTTATACGAGCGCTTGCAATCCTCCGCAGTGCGTTCAGTAGACGCGAAGCTGATCGTCGTGCTGTCAGGAATCAGACACGAGTGGATAAGGATCGTCAGCATATCGAGACACGTGTAGAAGAGTTGCCTAAAGACAGAACAAACGTGGCGCTGGCAGATGACAAGAGGACATCAAATCATCGACGCTTCCACTTGCCTGTCTGACTCCTCGGACGCTATGCCGTACAGCAGAACCTGTAGCAAAAGTAGCGCCCAATTTTCCAATGAGCTAGTCTTGCAGACGGTGTCGAACATGCCGCCGACCTGAAAATGAACGAATACGTCTGTCAAGTGCCGAGGGAGGTCAACAGGCTAAAAACTCACTAGACTCAACCGCAGTCTAAGGGAATCTCTCATGTCGGAAACAGTATCGCGATCGCATAGCACATAGGGATCCTAGAAGGCAAACAATGAGATATTTGCTTTTTCAAAGACATGCAACACCGAGTAGCGAAAAGCACTGACCTCTTTCACCTGTGCAATGTATTCCTGTATCTGTTTCAAGAGAGAACTAAGAAGGTTTTCTCGCTGGTCATCCTGACCACTCAGACAGGTCAGCACCAAGGAGAGAAACGGCTGCTGGGTCAACAAGCAGCTAAAACATTCGTAAGGAAGTGAGAAACCAAGCAAAACCGCATACCTCTGATAGCTAGTGCTCCTTTCGCGACTGGCACACTGACTAGTTTCTAACACAGTTGCAGCCGCTTTCAGTACCCTACCTTGAACAGAAGAAGGAAGCCTCGAAATGAGCGGGGCAATCAGCCAACATGGCGAAATTTCACTGAACCTAAAACTAGTATTTATCCAACAATTAATAAATGAATTGCAATAACAGTCCAACAAAACTCATAATTCTTCCGAACAAACACAATGCAGTAGCTTTAGGGCTCGATAGAAATCGGTCGCTGCATATAATCACGTTGTAGCCTATAAACCACCTAGCATTTAAACTGAACAACATCGATTAGACAAGGGCCAAAATGTCTATATATAAATATATAATCTGTCTAGTTCTGACTCAAAACCGAGACTTCCGGCGTCTGAGCCCCAGTGGGACAACTCTCCTTTCTTCTTCTTGCCAAGTTTGACAGAAGTATGATAAAGTGGGAAGGAAACAGGAGACTGTGGCCAGTGCTTGCAGCATAACTGCACTGATTATGCCTTTAACGCGTAGAATGGAAATTCGGATCAGCGCATCACCATCAGTTTTAGGAAATGAAGGGTGTTACAAATGTCTCCCACGATTAAAGTGTTAAAATGAGCGACATTCCAAGGGTTAGAAACTGTCCATCTTATCGCATCAAAATGCGGCGTAAATTTTTGTCATTAACTGCATAATCACGTGAATAGAATTTTCCACGCCATCCTGAGTGCAACCAGTAGAGGAACGGATAACAAGATGACCTACGAAACAATGGGGACATCTTGGTGTTCTTGCATGATTATGTCAGAGACATGAACTCTGTCTAATGGTGTGCGCTACGGCAGTGACTAATGGCGGACCTAACAGTTGACCAATTAAGAGTATGGCGTAATTAAATGTTTAAAGAGCATTATATAAATTAGAGTACATCAATCACATAAAAACAGAAAATTAATAGCGACCCACTTCATAGAGAACTGATCAGATATCTCCGTTTCAACGCCGACTTGCAGATCTTGCACTAAGTCCTGAGACTGAAACGTGTCCATACAAGCCTTAGCAATGACGTCAACGAGGTGAACATATTCCTGCTATAAAAGAAAACAAGAAGTAATCGTTTAGATAAAGTTGCGGAAAGTCATAAAACGTACGTTATGTGATACTTGCACCTGCTTCAGGAGCAGTTGCAAATCCATCTGAGACACCCACAAGTTAGTCAGTGATATATTTTCGAGTATCTTTGAGATGAGTTCCTTTTTATTACCGCAGTTCTCGAACTGTTCGACCAACCATTTCTCGGCATCGTTCCTGGTGATCATATGCAGTAAACGCTGTGCCTTAATCGACGGTTTATTGATGCATCAAAATTGTGATTAGGGAATTGATCATAATGATAATGGTGATTTCGTTGTAAAGCAGTCGAAATGCGAAACGTACCTTTGAAGGACTAACCAACGGATTCAATAAACGCTTAGGATCGAACAAATCCGTGCTATGCAAAAACTTTTGCTTTATCCAGTGCTGCTGGCAGATCACCGTTAGAATTTCCTTCGCCATATCGCTCAAACTTCGTCCTTCGACCACGTTATCGCTAAGTCTGAAAACAGAAGTACACTGTCAAAAAAACCGCGCTGCAAGTACAAACAAGGTATAACGAAATTTTACTCATTCAGTATTTGAGTGCTTTTTCACTATAATAAAGCATAAAACAATCCCACCGTATCTTATATTTCATCCCTTTGTGCAAACGTTTAGGCTGGGTTTTCGATTCAGAAGCTGCACATGTGGCATCTAGGATGTTATGGAAGAAATCAGTAGCAACGCCTTGACACGATGCATGTGAAATGCTTTCACTGCACAAACTTCACATATTACTGGCTGCTCATCTACACCTTCACTTGATGGATTCATTGAATTACATTTTTTAGCCCTAAAATATTTAGATATACATAAACTCGCAGTATGCTGAGCAATTTCTCAGCATCGTCAGGTACGCGTCCAACTTCACATTTCTAACATGATTGTAACCATGCGTTATTGTCACAAGTCCTAGCATTCTTTCAAGTGAATGTTAATGTTGATTTATGTTCAAAACTTCGTACAGAAACATAATAGTAACAAACGCAATACTGAATTTTGTCATATAATTTGTCATGCTTATTCCAGAGTTTGAGGACTTCGTGACCCATAAAAAGAGGCGTTTCAACCCGCATAGCAAACCCATTCCAAACGCAGCGATCTGTAGAACCATACTGGCAATAACCGATGCTGATAATCCCTTTCCAGTTTAGATTCAAAAAACAAACATGGTTAAGCACGCTGCTTGATGATTCCATTCAGAGTATAAGAAAGGTCGTAAGTATTTCAATTATTATGTCGACGCTTACATTGAGCAGTCATTCTTTTGCTACATAAGTTTGAAATCAAAAAATGTGCGTTATAGTGGAGATTAAGCATGTACTGTACATGACATTGCATTCCGGGATAAACACATGCACGTGATAAACACAAAAATGCATCCCACAGAGTGGCTTGCAAGAGGGTAATTCGCTGTGCAGCAGCTTTCTATGATTTGTATCGTATCCAAAGCGAAAACTATTTAATGAGCATCTAATTAATGTTTTATCACGTTTCTTTATATGGTTGAAACACTAACAGTGAACAGCATTACAGTGCTATCTCAACGTTGACACTGTTTGCATCACTGTATCAGCGAATGAGAATACTTACGGGGTTGAAGTGCGCGGGGCATTTGATGAACTCTCTCCGTCTAAAGCCATATTCAGCAGTTTGTCTAAATTGCTTTCCACGCCGTCTGTCGCCTTCGGGACCGGCGGGCAGCTCTGTTCGTTGTCCTCTAAAGCGTAACGCATACCAACAGATCAAGGACAAGAATGAAACTTCGATACCCAACATCATAATGGCAATGAGCAAGGTCAAGATCGCGTCCGGAACCATTCCGTCGTGAGAACTGCATACCAGATAGCGCTCGCCGCCGTTTCTTGTCAGAAATACGTCCGCAGGAGAAGCTTCGTCTATAAGGAAAGTAGTAAGCTTAGCAGCCAAAAAAATACAAACAAACTTCGACCGACCTTCGCAGTCATGCGACGGAAAAAGGGCGTTCAACAGATGTAACGCAAGTTTCGCGGCCGAAGCAGCAACCGGATCCACTTTATCTGAATTAGAAGAGTTATAGAAATGCAACTGACAGGCAATCGCCAACAATCCTACTAGATGCTCCACTGTGCTTCCACATCGGCAGGAGAGACGGCATTGCGATGTGCAGGACAAAATCTTCCTGCCTGATACAATAGCGGCCGATAAGAGTTGTTAACAAAATCGCTAGGGGAGTCCGAGTGGTAACATCATTGATCTGAAAATTTATAAGTGGATAGAAAGGATGTATTAGCATGGCATTCCAGGGTGATGATGTGGAAATATGGATCAGCGCTCATCAATAACTTCGGAAAAACAATGGCGCAAGAGCGGCCTAGACGTGAACGTGACCACAGAATGGTAACAAATTTCTGTTTTAATTTTTGCTTCCAAAATCTGCCGTTGCCGGTCAAAAGCCATGATGGGTAAGGGAGTTAGAGACCGCGGCGAAGTCTCCGTAAAACTCAGCCACTTCTTCCCAAGGTACCGCCGTCGTCGCACACTATACCAGCTTGGTCGTCGCACGGGTTAACAAGGGCCGTGCAGGCTGTTAGGGGAATGAGCCAGGCTACGAAAAATTGGCGATCAGAACCTGCTCATCCATCGCCTTATGGCAGCCGGGGGCTCAGCAGCATAACAACGGCTGACGAAGATCGACGGAACGACGAGATATCAGTCAGCAACGGAGTCGCTACCCGTTCTGAACGGATAAGACAGACAGCGCGATGCCATTATAGCACGTCCGAATAGGTTCCACTATAATGACAAAGCCACAGAGAGCGTACAGTCAGAAACTGGAATATACCCTCACTCAGAGGGAAAGAGCAGGGCTTAGATCATGAAGCCGTAAAGTACCAACTCAACATAGTGGACTCCCGTCAAGGGCCAAGGCTTTGTAATCCTCGGTTTCTGAGAGTTACTCAGGTGTGTTATTCTACTCAGATGTCGATATCACGACGCACGGTCAGGCCGATGTTGGTGTTCTGGTAGAACCCAACCTGGCTTACAGAATCACTGAATGGAATTCTGTCAGAGGAAGGGTGGCAATTCTTCCACCGAAGCAACAACATGCTGAAGCACTGGCCTTGCTAGAGGTCAATGCATTCAAACTGGAGGGAGAATATGAGTGCTAATTTGTACAAGTGGAGAGTGCTCTGTAGGGAGTCCCTCATTCTAATGGGTGATTACGGTGCTAATGTTGGAACAGATACTGAAAGTGAAAACGCATAATTAGCTAGAACAATCCTAGCAAATTCAACTATAACGGCTCCAAGTGCTACTGTTCTGTGCAAACAGAGGACTACCATTATGAGAACTTTCTTCGAGCATTGAAGAGTACATCAGTATACCAGCTAGAAGGAAGCTTGTGCACAGAATTCGATGATCGATTTGATAACCGTCTGACTTACGACGCTCTGTAATGGATGTTCGTATTACGAGAGGCGCAGAGCTGTTAACCGATCATAACCATGTCCATGTTGGAACGAAATGCTATGATAAATTGAGAACCATGCGAAGATCTGGGGCAGAAGCAACTAGAGAACTAAACGAGAAACATTATCTACTGCGGAGGAGAGCGAAATTTGCAAACAACATCGCACGACGGTATGAACAGATCCCTTTAATGACCACTGATGTGGAAACCGAGTGGAAGCTCTTTAAGAGCGGCATACTCGAGGCTGCCGTCGAATGCTGCGCATTCAAACGGGCTGGACTGCCGCCTGGAAGTCAGAAAGGAACATCTTCATGGACCCGAGGTACAACTGACAGCTAAAGGGAAGATGGCGGCAATTAAGAAATGTCTTCGAAAAAAAGAGCATTCTACTCGCGTGCGATATGTCGGAAGACAGCAGCGAAAACAGTTCTAAAGCAAAAGCTGATTCATTGGAGTTTGGTGAGGTTTTGGAGTAGAATTTTTTAACGGCAAGATGTTCCGGCAAACTATCCGGCGGCTCCGAGGTGAAAAGATTGGCACTCTAAGAGACTTGAAGGACAAGTCCGGACACCTTCTTACCGAGGATACTACTTTAAGGAACTCTTTTACCCTAACAACAGAAGGAAGACTCGTCGATAGGATAACAGGGAACAAATATTATTACATCTATACATGAAATAACACAAGAACTTAAAAGTTTCAAAAGTGAAAAGGCTGTTGGAACTGTGGAAATCCGCCCTGAAATGCTCATGGCATTATGTGAACAAAGCAGGTGCTGGCTTGATCCTGTCCGTCAAACTGCAGTGTTTACAGAGAAGACACTAGTGGGGTTGTTGCAACCCTGTTCATGAAGGGAGACCACAGGGAGTATGTCACTTATCAGAGCACTACCTTATTGATCCTCCTGGGTAAAGTCTACGCATAAGTACTAGAAAGGAAGTGTCATGGAATGACTGACTCCAAGATGCAAAAAGAGCAGCGTAGCATTTCTGGCCATATATTATCTCTAGAAAAGACTGTTGAGAAATCTTTGGAGTTCGCCCATCTGGTGTAGATGTACTTTGATGACTTACAGAAAGCCTATGACCAGAGTCGATGCGCCAATCCAAGGGCATGTCTGCGAACAAAAAGAGTTGATGGCCAGTTGCTACGGGCCATCCAATCAGTGCATTCTGATAGCAGGTGATGTGTGGCTTAAGTCGAAGCCTTTCAACGTTGGCACTAGTCATGCCTTTGAGCATAAGGAATAGGTGGCAAGTTGGCACGACCATCGAATCACCACATGCTGATAGCAGGTACTGTGTCAAAGTAAATGGCGTTAAGTCGAAACCATTCAATGTTCGCACTGGTCTCCACCAAGACTGCGTTCTGCCTCCTCTTCTGTCTGTGTTGTACATGGACAGAATAATCAGATGTAGCCAAGGCGATGAGTGTATCGGGTAGGAGATTTGGAGACAAGAAGGCTGCTGTTTGCAAACGACCTTGTTTTATAGGCTTCTTCTGAAAATGATCTACAGCGCTTTACGGAAATTTTCTCAGCTGAGTTTGACGTGGCCGGCATGCTTGTGAACGCATCTAAAGCGAAAAGCTTAGTGCTTTCTCGTTTTCCTGCCCGTTGCTCTTTTCAAATTAACAGAGAAGCAGCGGGACAGGTGGAGAAGTTCAACTATCTCGGAACTGTATTTACTAGTGACGGAAAATTGGAGGAAGAGATCGACCGGCGAATTGGAGCAGCCAGCGTGAACTAGCCCGACCCATTGTGACTAAAGCAAAGCTCAGTCTGGAAACTAAGCTCTCGGTGTTCAAGTCGATCTTTATCCCCATGCTTACCTACGGTTATGAATCGTGGACCATCAGTGAAAAACTTCGAACCCGGCTACAAAGGGCAGAAAT